ATCCTTACCCGAGGACATTTTTTCATTTTTTATTCAGATAGAGTAGGGGAGAGAGAGACAGAGAAACATCAACATGAAAGGGACACATCGAGTGGCTGCCACCCACACAACCCAACCAGGGCCGGGACAAACTGCAACCAAGGTACGTGCCCTTAGTGGGAACCGAACCCAGGTCTCTCTGGACCGCAGGTCGATGTTCTAACCTCTGAGCCAAACCGGCCAGGGCAAGATTTCCCTTTTTTTTAAGGCCAAGTAGTCTTCTGTTGTGTAAATGTACTACAGTTATTTAGTTTTTTTATCCACTCATCTACTGATGGGCACTTGGCTGCTTCTAAATCTTGGCGATTGAAAGTAATACTGTAGTCAACATAGGAGTGCATATACATTTTGAATTAGTATTTCAGGTTTCTTCAGATATATTCCCAGAGTAACTCCATACTGCTTTCCATGGTGACTGCACGAATCTGCATCCCCACCAATAGTGCACAAGGGTTCCTTTTCCCCCATATCCTTGTCAACACTTGTTGTTATTCATTGATTTATTGATGATAACTATTCTGACAGGTGTGAGGTGTTATCTCATTGTGGTTTTAATTTGCATTTCTCTGATAATTAGTGATGTTGAGCATTTATTAATATGTCTGTGGCCATCTATATGTCCTCTTTCGAGAAGTGTCTATTCAGGTCTTTTGCACATTTTTAAATTAGATTTTAAAATTAAATTAGATTGTTTGTGTTTGGATGTTGAATTATATAAGTTCTTTATAAATTTTGCATATAGCCCCTTATCACTTGTATCATTGGAGAACATGTTCTCCCAGTCAGTGGGTTGTATTTTTATTTTGTTGATGGTTTCCTTTGCTGTGCAAAAACTTGTAGATTGATATAGTTCCATTTGTTTATTTTTTCTTTTGTTTCCCTTGCCCAAGGAGACATATCAGAGAAAATATTACTATGAGAAATGACTAAGATTTATTGCCTATATTTTCTTCTAAAATGTTTTATGGTTTTGAGTCTTACATTTAAATCTTTAATCCACTTTGAGTTTATTCTGAATGGTGTAAGAAAGTGGTCTAATTTTACTTTTGTGCATATATCTATCCAATTTTCCCAACACCATTTATTGAATAGACTATCACTACCCCATTGTATGTTCTTGCCTCCTTTGCCAACTTATTTCTGGATATTTTTTTGTGTGCCCTGATACTTGACTGAATTCATTGATCAGTTCTAGTAATTTTTTTTGTAGAATCTTTAGAATTCTCTATATACAGTATCATGTCATCTGCAAATAATGACAGTTTTACTTCTTCCCTTCCAATTTGGATGCCTTTTGTTTCTTCTTGTCTGATTGCTATGGCTAGGACTTCCAGTACTATGTTAAATAAGAGCAGTGAAAGCAGACATCTCTGTCTTGTTTCAGATCTTAAGGAAAATGCTTTTAGTTTTGCCCATTGACTATGATATTGATTGAGTTTGTCATATATGGCCTTCTTTATGTTAAAGAATGTTCCCTCTATTTGCACTTTGCTGAGAGTTTTATCATAAACGGGTGCTGGATTTTATCAAATGATTTTTCTGTATCCATTGATATAATCATGTGATTTTTGTATCTTTCATTTTGTTTTTGTGATGTATGATGTTTATCGATTTGGGGATATTATATCAACCTTGCCTCCCTGAAATAAATCCCACTTGCTCATAGTGTATAATCTTTTGAATGTATCCTGGATCATGTTTGCTAATATTTTGTTGAAGATTTTGGCATCTATGTTCATCAGGGATATTGGCCTATAATTTTCTTTCTTTGTCGTTTCCTTTTCTGGCTTTGAATTAGGATAATGGTGTCCTCATAAAGTAAGCTTGGGAGTCTTCTCTCCTATTGAACTTTTTGGAATAGTTTGAGAAGAATAGTTGTCAGTTCTTCTTTGAATGTTTGGTAAAGTTTACCTGTGAAGCCGGGGCTGGTTTGGCTCAGTGGTTAGAGCATTGACCTGTGGTCCAGAGAGACCTGGGTTTGGTTCCCGCTAAGGTCACATACCTCGGTTGTAGTTTGTCCCCAGCCCTGGTTGGGTCGTGTGGGTGGTAACCACTCGATGTGTCCCTTTCACGTTGATGTTTCTCTTTCTCTCCCTCCCTCCCACTCTATCTGAACAAAATATCGAAAAATGTCTCTCTCTTAAGTCAGTGTTTCTCTCTCTTCCTCCCTCTCTTCCTCCCGCTCTATCTCAAGATAAATGCAAAAATGTCCTTGGGTAAGGATAAAAAAAAAAAAACTCCCAACCAAAAATGTCCTGAACCAGATAATTTTTTTTTTATCCTCACCCGAGGACATTTTTCGATATTTTTTTCAGCTAGAGTGGGAGGGAGAGAGAGGAACAGACAGAGAGAGAAACATCGATGTGAAAGGGACACATCGAGTGGCTGTCACCCACACGACCCCAACCAGTGTGGGGATAAACTGCAACCAAAGTACGTGCCCTTAGCGGGAACCGAACCTGGGCCTCTCTGGTCCACAGGCCAATGCTTTAACCACTGAGCTAAACCAACCAGTGTGGAAGAGTTTTGTTTTGCTTTTTCTTTTTATTACTGTTTCAATTTCATTACTTGTAATCAGTTTATTCAGATTTTCTTATTTTGCCTGATTCAATTTTGGAATATTGTATGTTTTTAGGAATTTATCCATTTTCTCCAGATTATCCAATTTGTTAGCACATAGTTGTTCATAACATTTTCTTATAATTTTTTGTATTTCTTTGATGTCAGTCATTACTTCTCCTCTTTCATTTCTGATTATTTATTTGGGTCCTCTCTCTGTTTTTCACGATGACTCTGGTTAAAGATTTATCAATCTTGTTTATCTTTTCAAAGAACCAGCTCTTGGTGTTATTGATATTTTGTATTGTTGTTTTTTTTAACTCTATTTTGTTTATTTCTGTTGTTATCTTTATTATTTTTCTTCTACTTACTTAGAGCTTTGTTTGTTGTTATTTTTCTAGTTCCTTTAAGTGTAAAGTTAGTTTGTTTATTTGAGATTTTTATAATTTCTTGATGTCGACTTATAATAGTAAGGATTTTCCTCTTAGGACTGCTTTCTCTGTGTCCCATAGATTTGGGGTTGTTGTGTGTTTATTTTTATTTGTTTCAAGATATCTTTTGATTTCTTCCTGGATCTCATTGTTAACCCATTCATTGTTTAGTAACATGTTATTTAGCCTTCACGTCTTTGTGTATTTTTTAGTTTTCTACTTGTGATTGATTTATAGTTTCATGCCCTTATGGTCAAAAGAAGATTCTTGATATAATTTCAGTCTTCTTAAATTTACTGAGACTTGTTTTGTGTCTTAACATGTGGTCTATCCTAGAAAATGTTTTGTGTACACTGAAAAAGAATGTATATTCTGTTTCCTTGGGGTGAAATGCTTTGAAACTATCAATTAAATCCATCTGATCTAGTATGTCATCTAAAGTCACTGTTTCCTTGTGGATTTTCTTTCTGGAAAACCTATTCGTTGAGATCAATGGGTGATAAAATCACCTACCATGACTGTATCATTGTTGATTTCTTCCTTTATGTCCATCAACATTTGCTATATATATATTATATATATTATATTATATATATGTTGTATAAATGTTTACAAGTGTTATATTCTCTTGTTGCATTGCTCTCTTTATCAATTTGTAGTGTCCTTCTTTGTCTCTCATTATAGCCTTTGTTTTAAAGTCTGTTTTATCAGATATAAGTATTGCTACCCTAGTTTTTTTCCCTTTCCACTTGCATGAAATATCTCTATCCATCCCTTTGCTTTTAGTCTGTGTATATCTTTTGTTCTGAGGTGAGTCTCTTGTAGACAGCATATATATGGGCCTTGTTTTCTTATCTATTCAGCCACCCTATGTTTTTGATTTGGAGCATTTAATCCATCTCAATTTAAAGTGATTATTAATAGATACGTATTTATTTTCATTTTATTTGCTTAACTATGTTCCTTAGCTTTTTGCTTTTTCCTCTTCGTATTAAAGAAGAACCTTTAACATTTCTTGTAGTAATGTTTTGGTGGAAATGAGATACTTTAGTTTTTTCTTATCAGGGAAGCGCTGTATTTATCTTTCAATTTTAAATGGTAGCCTTGCTGGGTAAAGTAGTCTTGATTGTAGGGCCTGACTTTTATCATCATTGTGAATGTTTCATGCCAATACCTCTGGCCTGAAAAGTTTCTGTTGAGAAATCAGCTGACAATCTTATGGGAACTCCCTTGTAGGTAGCTAACTACTTTTCTCTTGCTGCTTTTAAAATTCTTTGTCTTTAACCTTTACCATTTTAATTATGATGTGTCTTGGTGTGATCCTCTTTGTCTGGGATTCATCTTGTCTGGGACTCTCTGCGCTTCCTGGACTTGTATGTCTTTTTCCTTTACCAGGTTAGGAAGGTTTCAATCATTATTTCTTCAAATAGGTTCTTGATTCCTTGCTCTCTCTTTCCTTCTGGTACCCCTATGATGTGGATGTTGTAATGCTTCATATTGTTCCAAAGATCCCTTAAACTATCCTCTTTTTTTTTTTTTTTATCCTCACCCGAGGACATTTTTCCATTTTTTGTACAGATAGAGTGGGAGGGAGAGAGAGGAAGAGAGAGAGAGAGAAACATTGACGTGAAAGGGACACATCGAGTGGCTGCCACCCGCACGACCAACCAGGGCCGGGGACAAACTGCAACCGAAGTACATGCCCTTAGTGGGAACCGAACCCAGGTCTCTCCGGACCACAGGCCGATGCTCTAACCGCTGAGCCAAACCGGCTAGGGCTATCCTCATTTTTTTAAGTTTTTTTTTTTTCCTTCTCTGACTGGGTGTTTTCTGCTAGCTTGTTTTCCAAATCTCTAATTTGATGCTCTTCATTTCAGATATTGTATTCTTTATTTCTGACTTTTTTTTAATGGTTTGTATGTCCTTTTTCTTTTAACTGATAAAATTTTTTATTTCACTTTTGAATTTTTACATGTTTCCTGATTATTCTGTGTAAGGTGGAAACTAGAACTGTTTAAAATATATACACAAATCTAGTACATCGATAACCAGGGATTTTTCTTTTTTGCTATACTATTTTCACAACCACAGGTGTGCTTGCTAGGCAATATAACCATCACAGAAGCAAACGTGAGGCAGAATACTGGTAAGGAAAAACAAAGCGAGGAGGAGCTACCAGATATACAGACAGGCTCGTTCCACGTTCACTACTGCATTTGCAAGTGCCAAGTATTTAACTGCACATTTTTGTTCAGCTAGAAAGGAGGGTTTTTTGTTTTTCCTTTTTTGGTTTGTTTTCATCAGTGCATGAATGTTTTTCTCATTTCAGCAGATGGACAAACAGATGGATACTACAGCTATGTGGAATGTTAACGAGAATGGGGTATGATACTGTGAGACTGGTAGGCCCGGGTATTCTGGATTCTCCCCATTGTGGTGTTCATGCAACTTCTCTGTGTTATAGGGTCTTGTTTCAATATGTCTGTGAACTTGCCTGGATGAGGACAGCTGGGAGATCTGGTGACAGGTACTAACAAGCACTATCAGGGCTGACTGTAATACAGGGAGAAGTTGTGGATATTTGAAAATATTTTCTTTTTCTTTCTTTCTTTCTTCTTTTTTTTTTTTGGTGGTACATGCCCCTAGCAGGAACCAAACCCAGGACTCTCTGGTCCGCAGGCCAATGCTCAACCGCTGAGCCAAACTGTCCAGGGCTAGAAATATTTTCTGGATTCAGATCTTGTGTGATGGAAGAGCAACAACTGTGCTGAGAACTGGAGGAAGACAGGGCTACAGTGCCGGAAGCTCTTCCTGACTCTACAACAGGGCCTGCTCACCAAAGTGCTCACCAATTCCACTTCTCACCCCTCCAGGCCCTAGCCCTGCCCATGTAGTATTAAACTGTGAACAAAAGACAAATAAAGATAGACTTCAAAAAGAAAAGAAAAAGTAAAGAAGCTGAAGGACAGAAATTGAAAGAGGGAAGAGAAAAAAGTCAACAGTTAAAAAGACAGCAGGAAAGAATGTTTAAATTTCAAAATTCAAAAGCCCCGAGCTAGGAAGAACCAGAGACGGAGTCCTCCTCATGTGAAAGGCAATCTCTGCAGAACATTATTCTTGAAGGTATGACCCAGGAGACAGACAAAGCCATTCATAAATACATGGCTTTCTCTCTTCTTTAGTTCCTGGTCACAAGGAAAATAGATTCCACAACTGAAGCACAAGTCATAAATCAGTGACATTGTTATAGGACAAGAGTTTTAATCACATGTGTTGTATGAGCACTGGACCTTCTCATGGTGTCATAACCCAGTTACTTGCCACAAAGAATTTCAATTTTAGGCTTTGAGTTTCCTCAGAGGAAGACACTGGACATCTGTGGTCATGAACTTTTGAGTGGCAAAGCCCCTACTGGTCAAGTGTCTACAAGCCCTGAACAACAGGCAGAATTACTGTGAATTGCCATCAGACTTAAATGTGAAATGACAGGTGTCTCACTCCAAGTTCCAGCATCACAATATAATCTCTATAACTTTCTGTAGAACTTTACAATGGAGCTGTATTTCAGTGACTGTTTTGATATCAGATTAAACTTTCCCAAAAGTTATAGATAAGTCAGGTCTATTTTTTCTACCAGTAAGAGTTCTGCTTAGTTACAAAACCCCATAATCACAGTGTTCGGTTTTTTAAAAATTAAACACACAGTAATCCTGTCAGTGTTAAAAATCAAAACTTCAGAATGCTGCCCTGGCCGGTTTGGTTCAGTGGTTAGAGTGTCGGCCTGCAGTCCTGAGAGACCCGGGTTCGGTTCCCGCTAAGGGCGCGTACCTCGGTTGCAGTTTGTCCCCGGCCCTGGTCGGTTGTGTGGGTGGCAGCCACTTGATGTGTTCCTTTCACATCGATGTTTCTCTCTCTCTCTCTCTCTCTGTTCCTCTCTCTTCCTCTCACTCTACCTGAACAAAAAATGGAAAAATGTCCTCGGGTGAGGATAAAAAAAAAACAAAAAACAAAACAAAACAAAAACTTCAGAATGCCATGGCATTTATGTGACCAGTTTAAGATACAAATACCAAATGTTTATCCCATGGACCATTTTTGCTAGGCTGAGGCTTTGAAAAAGTGAAAAGTCAACGTACAATTCTTTTCTTTCTTTCTTTCTTTCTTTCTCTCTCTCTCTCTCTCCTTCCTTCCTTCCTTCCTTCCTTCCTTCCTTCCTTCCTTCCTTCCTTCCTTCCTTCCTTCCTTCCTTCCTTCTTTCTTTCTTTCTTTCTTTCTTTCTTTCTTTCTTTCTTTCTTTCTTTCTTTCATCGTGCAGAGATAATGTGGAGGGTACAGAGTGACACCGGACAGAGCACGAAAGACATTAGTTCTCTCCCTCGCCAGCAACTCCTTCATCTCCCTGGTTTTCCAGTGTCCACAGCGTGAGATTGTCCCTAAGCAACTGCATGATCAGCGTGCTGTCTTTGTACGACTCTCCATTCAGTGTATCCAATTCAGCAAGTGCTTCATCAAATGCTGTTTTGGCCAGGCTGCAAGCCTTTTCCGGAGAGTTCAGAATCTCCTAGTAAAAACTGAGAAGTTCAGTGACAGGCCAAGTCCAATAGGGTGTGTCGGCTGCATTTCTTTCTTACTCATTTCAAATGCTTCCTCGTAAGCCTGCTGAGAGTTGACACAGTGTGTGCTTATTGTCTCCAGATGCCACCTCAGAACGATAGCTAAAATAATCTTTCATTTTCAAGTAGAACTCCTGACTTTCTGGTTGTGTAGCGTTGGCAATAAGATATTTGTCCAACAGCTCCAGAACAGCATTGCAGAAGTCCTGCAGTTCTGCCGCTTATCTCCCGGTACTCTGCTCATCTGCTGCTGCCTCTCGGTCCTCTCTGTTTTCTCTTCAGTGCTGGAGATGACAGGCCAGGAAGAACGGCTAGTGCCCCCCACATGCCTGTAGGCGACAGAGCAGATTTCTCTCTTCATTGGAGAGTTCGTGCCCCTGTTCCATGACTGCCTTCATGGCTGCAGCCATGTCATCATAGCGCTCAGCCTGCTCGGCGAGTTTGGCCTTCTATACCAGCTCACTTTTACCCATGGCCATTCCGGTGGGAGGTCAGCAGGGGGCAAAGGCGATGGCGAGCGGAGCTCCGACCCAGGCCCACTCCCCCGGCAGCAGGAGCAGCGGTGGCGGGCGCTGCAGCCGCGGCCCAGCAGCTAACCCGGCTCTGGAATCTTTATGTCCTTTTCCATGCTGTTGAACTTCTCACTAAGTTTTTTGAGCATCCTTATAACTGTTTTTTTTTTTAACTCTATATCTGGTAAATTGCTTACCTCCATTTCCGTTAGCCCTTTTTCTGGAGATTTCTCCTCTTATTTTATTTGGGGCATGTTTCTTTGTCTTCCCCATTTTGGCTGCCTTTTTATGTTTGTTTTTATTTATTAGGTAGTTCTGCTACATCTCTGAGTCTTCGTGTGGTGGCCTTATGCAGTAGGTGTCCCGTGGGATACAGTGGCACAGTTCCCTTGATCAGCTGGGCTGGGTGTTCCAGGAATATTCCTTGCGTGGGTTATGTGGGCCCTACTGTTGTAATTGAGTCTTGATTGCTGTTGCCCCCGTTGTGCATGAGGTCATCCCTCAGGCTGGCTGACTGTGAGGATTGGTCCTGACCACAGTGTACAGGCTGCTGTGCAGATGCTGACCATAGGAAGTGAATACAGGGTCTGCCTGCCAAGATCTCCCTTTGGATATGCCACTTGTGAAGCTTATTTAATCCTGCTCTGATGTTGTCTGAAGCTGGGTGTGCCTGTTCTGGGTCCTTTTCAGAGGGATTCTGGTGCAGGTCAATGTTAGATGCTGCATGTGACTAGCTCTGGGTGACCTGTGTGGAGATACAATGTGATCTACAGCTTGTGGTTGCCTTTGCTGAGCCTTGTGCATGGGAAGGACCAAGCTGAACACCAGTTTGGCTTCCACCAGCACCCAGCCCAATGGCACATCAGCAAAAGGCCTAAGGCTCTCTGAGATCCATCTCCACTGCCTCTGCCTTCCAGGCTCTGTCACTGAACCTCTGGCAGCCCTCGGTTGCATGAGGTATGTTCTCAGTGAGTCACCAGGTAGGGGTGAGTAGTGTTCAGCAGATTGATACAGGTTCCAACTTGGTGCCAGAGTTGAGTCTGAGGCCACTCAGCAACTGTCCCAAGATATACCAAGTCTAGCTGCCACCTGCTGGTGCTCACACACTTTTGTTGTGTGGCAGGGTCTCAGGGAGTCGTCAGTGTGAGGCTAGCAGTTTATCAGACCCAACAGAACAAGATTTGGTCATGTGAAGGGAGGGCTCTGCATGTCTGTCACGTGAAGGAAAAATGACTCTTGTCCTACAGCCACACAACTCAGTCTGTTCCAGATTCTGTCAGCAGTTTGACCTCAGCAGGGCAGGCCATCAGGGCTAAGTACATCTCCTATGAGTGGGAGGTGTCTGTCAGGGTTGGGGGATGTTGGGTGGAGTGGCCCATGCCCCTGAGTCACACAACTCAGTCTTTCCTGGATTCTGCCCAGATCTGGGCAGGGTGGAAGCAACAGGAGTTGGGAGATTGGATCTGCCCGAGCCCGGAGGGTGGGGTTAGCGGATCATCCATGGTGGAGAGGCACCGCCAGTCAGGTTCACGAGAAATTGCGGGGAATTTCCCCTGCCCCAAAGCCACACAACTTAGTCACTGACACCCCCTGAGTCTGCCGGGACCTGTACACGCTGGCTCAGATCGTTGACTGCTCAATAGGACGCAAGCTCCACAGAATGGGGCAACAGGATGTCCAGAGGATGAGGCCATTGCATCCCCCCAGGCTGATGCCACATGGAGGCGGTGCTCTACCCCAGGAAGAGGATGTCTATGGTATGGGAGAATGGCTCACCACAGGGATGCTGGTGACTGTCCTTCAGCTCTCTCCTTAAAGCCATAAATCCAGTCTCTCCCCCAAGTGACTCTAGTCCACTCCTCCCTTCCTCCATCTCTTCCTCCCTCTGCTAGATCCCAGGGTGAGTGGCTGTGAATGAGATTTTGTGCATTGGCCTTTCAGGAGGGTGCTTGTGTCTCTAGCAGACCCCCATCTCTCCCTGGTGGGCAGAATCCCCATTGATTTTCACAACTGGATGTTATGTGGGGCGCCTCTTCCCAGCTCTGGTGCTCTAGGCTTGGGATTGAGACCCAACACTTTAAAGCGGGAACCTTTGCAGCTGAGAGATCTCTCTGGCAAAGAAGACCCAGGACTTGGATGCTGTTTCTGAGTAAATCTCTTTGGGACAGTAGCCAAGTAATTTCCTTCTAAATAATTCTCTTTTTTTCAATTATTATTAATTTATTTTTGTTACAGATGTTTCTCCTTTTTCCCAGTCTAGACACCCTCCTCCCCATC